TGACCAAAAAAAACGAGCGACCTTTCTTCCCGATCCATGCCGTAGATCTTGACCAACGCGAACGAACGATCTATTCGACGGAATCCAACACACGGCTTAGGAATAAAAGGAGAAAGTGGCTGAAGCGTAGTCAACAACCGAGCAACAGGAACGAGAAGAGGAAGGAAGGGAGAAAGGGGGAAAAGAGGGGAGAACTTCACAAAGCCTCCAACGCAACGACGATCGACCCGGCTTGCCGATCCATCCAAGAACGAAAACCGCTACTGCACAAAGTAGAGAGAGGGAGAGGTGCGCAGCCTTCCACTGCGCAACAAGTTTCAAGACAGTCAGCTTCTGACCGAAAAAGGAAGGAGGAAAGGAGGGAAAATGGGAAGGAAGGACTTAACTCGGTCATCACACCTCCCAATCTCGAACCCCAGGCACAAAACCCGCTCGAGAGAGAAAATCTCGCTCGAACGCTCTGAGCGCACTGGGAAGCGAGGGAGGGGCCACGACGTTGTCCAGCTCGAACCGCTGATGAACGCGCCAGCGGAGCAGGTGCAGCCGCTGGAAGCCGATCGCGCAGGCCAGCCGAACCCACATCCATTTCGAGGTCGTTCTCCCACGACCCCGCAAAAGGGGGAGCCCCATAGTCAGCTGCTCCGGAGTGAACGTCGACGGATCGACGTCGGTATCCTCGATGCCGAGCTTGTCAAGCAGAATGCGTAGCACCCCCCCCAGAAGCTGGTCGAGTACGCGCACTCGAAAAAAAAGTAGTGGGACACCGTCTCGATGACCGCTGCATCGTTGCCGCAGAACAGACACGTCGGCGAAGAGGCATGACCCTGAGTATGCTGCCTCTTGCGCGTCGGCGTCACGTCGTACATGAGCCGCCAGTGGGTGTCCTGCTCGACAGCAGACGCGAACCGGTCATGAAGCCATCTCCAGAAGCGCTTCCTATCGCTCTGAGAAGTCCCATCAGGGAAACGCTTGACACGGTCCTCCCTCCCTGGGAACCGCACCTTGTTCACAAGCCGACGAAGCTTGCGAATCGTAAAAAGGTCGGGAGAGCCCAAAGAAGTTGAAGCACCGAGGACGGGGAGCCTCCTTGAGAGGTATCCGAGCAGGTCGCAACGCGGTCTTGGGCAGCAACGCTTTCGCCTTGAGCAACTGACCCACGCGCGACCACACGTGCTCGTGCTGTAGGGCGGGTTCCTTAGAGTGCTGCCAGAACCCGCGTCGATGACCAACCAGAGCCCATCCCTTCCCTTCGTCCCTCCAGTACAGGTCCGCGATCTGCGCAAACTTCGCACCGCGTCCGCATCGTCATATGCGTGCTGGGCACCTTCAGCATAGAGTGAAGGGAGGCGAGGCGGAAGCGAGAGCAATTCGGGAAGCGTAAGGAGTTCGGACTTGATGGTTGGAACTGTGACCCTGGCCGCTGCAACGACTGCCCCCAGCGCGTCGAGTCGCGATACAGCTTCTCGACCCGAGCCGTGCTGCTGAAGAACCCCCACGGACTGAAATCGCGGTCGCAGCGACGAGGACCTCCAGCTCTCGCGAGCTAGGGGCGCCCAGATCGCCTCGTCCGAGCCCGCCACAGCATCCCAAAATCGAAGCGCCACCGAATGAACGATGTCGCCAATCGAAATCAAACCCAAGCCACCGTCCTCCCGAGCCTGGAACACGAAATCGCGAGCGACGGTATTTCGCCCTGCTCCTCCCCAGACAAAGTCCGTAAGTGCCGTCTCCGCCGCCTTAATGAACCATTGAGGCGGTATGTCGAAGGACAGCACGTGGAGGACCGTCGAGATGATGTGAGCGTTGGCATAGAAAACCTTCCCACTCGGCGAAAGTGTCCCGGTCTCGAGCGGCGCGGTCTTGGCCTTGATCCTGTCAAGAACATGGTCCAAAACAGTTTCGAGTCACCGTGGCGAAAGAAGGCATAACCGCACCCACTTGAAGCTCTCCCCCTCCTGCACCGTTGGCAGCGCCTGCGCAGTCTCGTCCCGAAGCCAGTTCGGTCCGAGTGGTAGCACCAGCGTCTTGTCCGTGTTGGTCTTCCCGTTGGTAGCTCGTACCACGTCTGCGACAGCGTTGCAGCTTCGACAATGCCGCCGGTGACTCCACACCACCACAGCATCGTCGGCAAACGCCAGATGCGTAAGCTGCGCACGCGGCCCCCTGCCACACCTTCTGCAGGTCGAGCGCGATCCCGCGCCGAACGAGGGCGTCGAGAAGGGTGGAACGTGATGTTCCAAACCGGGCACGAGAGGGATCCCCCTGACCGAGACCACACAGCAACCGCACCAAGTCCGTGGGGAACCCATTGACAAGTAGCGCACCCCCAGAGTCTCGGGATCGAGAGAGCGCGTAGCAGCGAGATGAAACGCTCACCGAACCCAAAGGCCTCAAAGACCTCGAAGATCCAGGCGTGATCGACCCGATCGTACGCGCTCTGCTGATCCAAAGACAAGAGGGCCCCTCGGGGAAAACATCAGTGCCTAGCGACTTGAGTTTTTCGAGAAGGAGAGTGAGATGACTTCCCGCGTCCGCTGAACGTCTTGATGGCATGAAACCGTGTTGCGCCGGCGGCAAAAGCTCGCCGAGCACCCCATTGAGTCGCGCCACCAAGACCTTGCTGAGGACCTTGTAGGTCGTCTCGCGCAATGTGATCGGTCGGTATGCCCCCATGATTTCAGATTGGCCCCCGGTTTATTCTTGGGCAAGGCCGCACCAGCCCCTCTGCCAAGGACGCCGTCATTTTGCCGCCTCCCAAATCGAGTTGAACAAGTCCAACAGCTTGGGAGCAAAGTAGGTTGGCAGCGCCTTGAAGAGCTCGTACGGAATGCCCGAGGGCCCCGTGATCGCCCCGAATCCGTCTTCTTCAACGCCGCTTCAACCTCGAGGAGGGTGAAGGGCTCGTCAAGCGCCACTCTCGCTTGACGAGGCAGCCGGACGACCGAACGTAGGGTCCGAGCGGTCGTCATCGTAGCATTTCGCTGCGCGAATAGGTCGAGCAGGGACCGGCGTGCGTTCGTCGGGTCGCCACGAGCTGGGTCCGGCGTGAAGAGCGACTGCGCGTGCCGTGAAGCAATACCCAGCGCTCCTGCATGTCAACGGTCTCGGTGCCATCCACATCCTCCAGCGAGACGATGCTCGTCTGGCGACTCCGGCGGTTGAGGCGCGTGCGAATGCTTGCCGATTGACCTTCCCTCGAGTCGACTGACGGCACATGCGCACGAATGCGCAGCCACTGAGCCTCCTTTACCGCCAACTGGTCCAACCGCGACTTGGCATGAGCATACGCATCGCGCTCGGCCTCATTCATGTGCTCACCGCGTGCCTCCAAAGCCTCCATGACGGATTGGCTCTCGGCCCCGCAGTCGGCGCATGTCGCACGAGTCGAGCGGTATCGTGCATGGCCAGCGACTGCAACCGCCCGCAGAGCGGCGTCATAGATGTCGCCGAGCGGAGCGGTCCCCTCGAGCCTTCGATAGACCTCGTCGACGACCCGGGAATCGATGCGACAAGTCTTGATCGTCAAAGACCATGGGTTGAGCCTCGAAATGAAATCGCTCGTGGAGGGAAGAGAAAGGGGGGTTCGGCATCAGCGTTCGATGTAGGCAAAGCGAAAGTCGCAACTACAGGTCTGTGGTCCGAACAGGGCGCATCGAAGAGCGTAGAAGCGCTCAACAACCGGTTCGCCCAACTGCATTGGACAAGAATACAGTCGATCCGCGACCACGAGCAAATCTTTCGCTCTTCCCCTCTACCACGGTAGTGAGGACGAGTGAATGCAGGGGTGCAAGGATGGACATGTCGGACCGTGTCGAGTGCCTTGAACGCGATCTTTGACAGCAAGGTCTGCCAGTGCGATACAGGAGTCCAAGCGCGATCGGTGATGGACACTCGGTCGACCGATACATCCGGACAATCGTTGAGATCGCCGGCCAAGATCCGAAGAATCTTGGGTCTCGGGGCGTTGAAGTGCAGAAGCCCGAAAAAGTCGCGACGATCGTCCTCCTGCACCGGCGCGTACATGTTGATGATCTCGACATCGAGCTCCTCAAGACGAAACACCGAGCGCAGAATCCGACCGTCGAAACGAGGAGCTCCTGCAAAGACGACCGGGTAGAGGAAAGGAGATGGCCCGCAAAGGTGAGCCATCGGGTATGAGGGTAAGGACATGAGGAGTGAAACGAATACAAGCCCCGGCCAAGCACTCTCGAAGCCTTCGCGCGACGCGTTGTAGCTGAGGTGGTGCTCTTGCAGGAGGATGGCCGCAGGGGCGGCCGAAGGGTTTTGAGATAACGGATGATTTTGACTTGGTTGACTGCGTTCTTCATCGATCGGACGTTGAACGTCAAACACGGTGAGTGACTCAATCATGATTAAATCAGTTCAGCGCCGCCCCCCTCGAATTCGGTCACCTCGGACCTGTGACCCCCTGAACTGTTGCCCCCTGAGCCATCACCCCTGATGCACCGAGGATCATGGCGGATCCCGCCCGGGTGACACGTCGGTTGCCGGGTGCCGAGCTCGAATGAAGGCGTCGAGGACTCGTCGAGCTATCGAGGTTGTCGAGGTTGCCGATGATCCCGACGTGCCACCGGACAAAGGCGAAGGAGAGGTCGGGGTCGAAACGGGCGCCGCCCGTCGTCGTCTGCGTCTCCTTTGTTGAGCCCAGGGTCGCACGCGTCGACGTCTCTTCCCCAGTGTCACCGCCCTCCGGTTCGGTCGAACGACCGACTCGTCGTCGCCGTCGTTCGCGTCGTCCTTGTTGGCGGTTACTGCACCTGCGGGGTTAGCACGAGGTCCCAGCTGGATCATGTTCGCGCCAGAGACACGAGAGTTCAATGCGGCAGGCCCACCGTGCTTCCCATTCTTTCCAGCAACTCGGAAGCCGGTGGTCGAAGTCGAAGTCGAGGTCGAGGCCCCCGGAACAGGGGCGGCGGTGGCCGGAGTCGAAACCGGCTTCCTGCAAGCGCCCCACTGGTGTCCGGCGCGATCGCACACCGCGCAGTAGTGCGTCTCGAATTCGTGTCGCAAGCCGTACTTGGCGCCCAGGATCTCGATCTCTTGTGGCAAAGCGGCGTTGAGCGCACCCTTCTGCGTCTCGATGGAGCCTTGGAAAAGATCAGCATGTAAGCGAAGGTACGCGCAGTGGAACCCGTCTTCGGTCATGGCCATCGGATCGCCATTCGGATCGACCGCGAGGCCCCGCTGTAATTGCATCAGGGTATAACCTTGCGTGCGACCTGCGCGGCCGAACGAAAGGGTGATAGCATCATCGAGAGATTTTCGGAGCACGGAAGCGGGGATCGCGCTGGAGGAGGAGGGCAAGGTGAATCGCACCTGCACGACGTGGTTAAGGGAGAGGCGCTGGGGAGCTCGGTAACCATCTCCTTGCCGTGGTAGGGGAATGGGCCCACTGAAGCGGCTTCAAGACAAGCTTGCTCGGATTCGAATACAAGCTCGTACATGTGACGAGCGATCGGGAACCTCTTCGTGGCTTTCGTCACAATCGGGTTCAGCTTCACGCATTTCGAGAAAAGCTTCTCGACCTCGGGGTCAAGCACGACGCCCTCGGGCCGCGCGAACATGAACGGCGTCTCGGCCAATCCAAAGTGCTTGCGCAGCGCGGTCTGTACAGGACCTCTGGGTGATCCAGGACCATCCATAATGACTCGAATCACATTGGAGGCCGGGGCTGCGTCGTTTCGCACCGCTCTTTGGGCGGCTCGTGCGAGCGCTGGCGCTGCGAAGGCGGGGTCGAGGCGTCGTGCATCAGGACCATCAGTCGGCGGGTCGACTTGCTGGAGGGAACAATCCGAGCACTTGGAAGGTCTTCTTCATCAGCTTCTCATGGTCCAACCGGACCTGAGTTGCCTCGGGCGACCAAGCTGGAGGATTCGCGGTTCCTCCAGTGACCGCTTCACGCGTTTGCGTGTTGAGTGATGAATCACTCGCGCCATTACCACCCAATAGGTCCTCGGGCGGGGGCGCATCGGCGCCGGGCGGATCCGGCATCGCGTGTTTGTGTTGACCTGTAAAGCTTAACGGGCTTGGAGGTCAACTACTCACTCTACACCACAGAAACTCACTTGTGTGTGGAATCCTTTTTTTTTTTGTTTTTTGGGGCTCATAAATTGCATTTTTTTTTTTTGTAGAAACCGTTCATCATATTGCCCCCAATTCCTGTTCCCCTGATTGGCCTACGGAAAAACTAGATGGAAGTCGACGATGATAACACAAACCGCCCGCAAGATGCGAGAAACGGGCCAAGTCCACCAATCCGATACTTCGGATTCAAGTGCCCCAGCCAAGCGGTTGCTCCCCCCCAGGAGACGAATGAGAGAGAGAAGAGAAAGAGAGAAAATGAAAAAGAACTGGCGTACTAACGACAAGAGGCCCACCCCGCACCCACTTCCCAACTCGGTCGAGACAAGACAGGAGAGCGACTGCGCAGCTACCCTGACCCGCGAAGTCCCCAAGTCTATGCTCGGTCACAACAAGACGCGGTGGAGGCCCCTCAAAACCTCCACCTCAGCAGTCCCTGGCCCCTCAAAGCCGACTTTCTGCCTGTGTCTGCTGATCCCTCCCTTGACTCAGAACCCCGAAGCCAAAGAGCGCGAGCCACCGTCGAGTCAATCCCAAATCGCGAGCCGGTCCATGAGCAACGGAGGCAGACCTGTAATAAAAGAAAGAAAGATGAAGAAAATATATTTAGTATACAGTTTTTGTAAGAGGATGTGTGATGTGGGGTGTGTGAGTGTGGGATCGGGTGGGGGGAAATCGAACCCAGCCTCTACTGCCCTCGCCCGCCCCTTGCTCCCCCGCCCTCAACTTCATCCTCTCCTCCAGTACCACCCTCCTCCGCTCCAGGCTTTCCATCCTCGTCCCGTGCTTCTGCATCCTCCATCTCCCACTGCTGATCATCTCCAAGACCATCCCCGTGAAGATCTCGATCGTCCTGCCTGCGCCTTCCTGTTCGCTGAGCTTGGCCTTGAGCTTGGGGAGGCCAAAGAGTCGTTGTAGTGTCGTGTACTCGGCGTCCTCGATCGTGTCGCATCCGAGCGCGTCGCAGAGCACGCCCTTGCCGCGGTCCAGATGTTCCGCGAGTCGACGCAGCCGAAGAAGTAGTGATCGGTGTCGTCCACCGGCGCTTCGCACACGAGGCACGCGGGAGAAGTGTCGTGCTTTTGCTCGTGCTGGAGTTTGCGCGTCGGGGTGAAGCGGAGGATCAGCTTGAACCAAACTTCCCTCTCCCTCGCCGTCAGTGCCTTCGAGTTGACTGCCTTCCAGAAGCTCCTGAGGTCGTCCGGCTGCGGTGGTCCCTTGAGCCGAGCATGTTGGTAAATGCCTTCGCGTTCAGGACCCGGCGGATGCGACGGACTGTGTAGGGCGAGCCATGTTCAGCAGCGTATACTGGCTCGCCTGTTGTGGAAGCACCGGGTCCGGAAGGCGCTGCTCCATTGCGAAGCGGGCCACGGGCTTGGGGATGATCGCCTCGAGTGGTGCGCTGGTGCCGATCCGGGGAGGCACGTTGAGTCGTCCCGCCGCCACCGCCGCCGCCAAGGGGTGTTCTTGTGTCGATCGACAGTGAACCGGTACCAGGCCGCGATTGCCAGTCGCTGCGGGAGCCCGCGTCGATCGTACTCGCTGTTGTCGCCGAGCACATCCGCCGGCGGCGTCCAGAGGTGAAACCCCCCACCCGCATACAACTCGCGTCGATAGAGATCCGCCACCTTCGGGTAGCCCTGGAGACGAAGGTAGTCAGGTACATGAACCGCGTCGATGGTCTGTCTCCCTCTGATGGGGGTGTGGAGGCTGCCGAGCAGGGTGGGCAGCGCGAGCAAGTTCGCGGTGGTCAAGGCCCTCGGGTTGACCTGCGCGTCGTGAAGTTTCGGAACGCCCAGTGCGGCGTGCCATCGGGGATGAAGGTCGTTGGGGATGGGAGTGGATGGATGTGGCCAGAGATCGGTGGCCAGGTCGAGGTCGGGCTGAGCTCGCTGGAGTGATGCGCGCGCAAGTCCTTGCCAAATCGCGCCGGAACCGCCGAGAAGAACGTCCCAGAGCCGTGCCGCAACCGCGTCCACAACGTCCCGCATCCTTATCACCCCGAGTCCCCCCTTGTTCTTGGCGGTGAACACAATGTCTCTGCCGTAGCTGGTCCTGCCCTTGCCCCCACGGACGAAATCGACGAGCATGTCATCGAGCTTCTTGACGACTTTGGGCGGCGGGATGTCGGCTGCAAGGAAATGCAGGATCTTGGGAATGGCGTACCGATTGACGTAAAAGGCACGGGTGTGGTGCGTGAGCCAGCGATGCTGAACCGCTTCCAGCGTCGCCTCGAGCCGTTCGATGAGATTCGCGTAGGCGAGTTCGGTGTCGCCGCTGGGGTCGAAGGGGAGGCCGATCCACTCGAGCGACTCGCCTGCGGCCTTGACGACGATTGGCCGTTCCCCAGGGTCCCAGCGACGTCCAATCGGTAGGACGACCGTCTTGTCCGTGTTGAGCCGGCCATTCGTTGCATGCCTCCAGTCGAGCGCCAGGTCATCGAGCAAGTTGAGTGACTCCAAGCCCGCGACGGCGACGACAACGTCATCGGCAAATGCAAGTGATGTAATGGCGCGGCTCTGTGGGTACGGATGAAGTGCAGGTATGGAGAGATTCAGCGCGATGTTTCGACGGTGTAGAGCATCCAGGAACGGCTGAAACACGATGTCCCAGACCGACGATGACGCCGGGTCCCCTTGGCCGAGCCCACACGTCAGTCGCACCGGCGCCGTCAGGAACCCATTGATGATGTAGCGCGCCGAGGTCGAGTCACCCGAGTAGAGCATCCTCAGCACGCGAAGAAAGGTGGTAGGAGCGCCCAGAGCGTCGAAGATGGCAAAGATCCAGTCATGCTCGACGAGGTCGTAGGCGGATGATTGGTCAAGAGACAAGAGCGCGGCCGCGGGGAACTCGGTCCTGCGCGCGCCAAGTTCCTCGATCAGGAGACGAAGGTGTAGTGCAGCGTCGGCCGATCGGCGGTCCTTGACGAAGCCGTGCTGCTGCGGCGGGAGGAGATCGGGCAGAATTTGGTTCAATCGGGCGACGTAGACCTTGGTAAAAATCTTGTAATCGCACTCGCGCAGGGTGATGGGGCGATACGACGAGAGTTCGGCGCGATCGGCATTCTTCTTGTGGCGCTTGAAGATGAGGCGCACGAGTCCCTGGCCCTGCTTGGGAGAGAGTGAACCGCGCTCGATCATCGCGTTGTAGGCCTTGGTCAGCACCTTGGACCACGCCTCCGGTGCGGTCTGATAGAGTTCGTAAGGCACGCCCGACGGGCCCGGCGATCGCCCCGGGTGCGTCGTCCCGATCGCGGCCACGACCTCGTCCTCGGTGATGGGTTGCTGGAGGAGATCAATCTGCGCTTCCGAGAGTCGGCGCAGAAAGAGCGGATCTGAGCGCGGGTCGTCGCAAGTCCGTGCCGCCCTGATCGGCACGAGGAGTTCGTCCCGAAGTCGGTCGACGCGTTCCGGATCACGAGGCTCGATGTGGTAGAGGCGCTGGAAATGCGCCTGCGTGTGGTCAAGAGCGACATCAATGTCATGCGTTAGCTCTCCGTTGCCCAAGCGCAGTGCTGTGATCTTGGAGTCCGAGTTCCGCGCCGCGAGCTTGGCGTGGACCGGCCGCGACAGTCGTTCCTCGGAAGCGATCTCGGGGACGTGGGCTCGGATCCGGAGTAGGCGCGCGCGCTCCTCGACCGCCCGCTTGAGTTCCTCGGACGTCCTTGTCCATTCTGCCGTTTCCGCCTCCCCCATACCGGTAACGCCTCCAGATCCTGCACCCTCCCCACCAAATACTCCATCCGTTCCGTCCGCTCCCGATGCAGCCTCCTCGCCATCTCCCCACCCCTGTCCCTGCACGCCTCCAGAACCTCCTCAAGCTCTCGCACCGGATCCTCCCCGCTTGCCCCTTCCAACCATCCTTCCATCATCCGCTGAAATTCCACGTCTTGAAGGTTGTGGTATTGATTCGATGTAGTTGGTCGGATGTGGTAGGTAGGCTGAGCTGTGGGAGAGCCGCATCAAGATCGTCTGAGAGAGCTAGTACGATCAAGACCGGTCGGTGATCGGAAAGATCCTTGGGATAGTCGTAGATCGTCGAGGCCTGGTCGAGCCTTTTTTGGTGAGCTCTTTGTAGGAGAAAGTAGTCAAGCCGGGAGAAGGAGTTGGGTCGCTTGCGATTGGGATTAGGTCGAGTGAAAGATGGGGTGATGGGGTGCTTGTAGCGGATGCAGTCCGTGTAGGCCGAGTCGAGCTTGCCCATCAGAATCGGCCAGTGGTGGCCGCGCCGACTTTGGTTCCGCCGATCGACTTCTGGGCGCGGGCAGTCGTTGAGATCGCCGCCAAGGAGTCGGAGGTGGGATTTCTGTGTTTTGTGGAGGATCAGTTTGTCGAAGAATTTTGCTCGTTGTTTTGGGTCAACGGGCGCGTAGAGGTTATTGATTTCTAGAATTTTGATGTCGCCCCGCAGACGAAAGGAGGTGACGAGGAGCCGGCCGTCGAGTGCCGAGTGGGTGCGCAAGAGCTCGGCGTCGATCAGGGGCGAGTCGGCCGGGATCAGGGTCAGGCAGTGCTGGTTGATGAAGAGCTTGCCCTCGTACTCGTCCTTGATGAGCTGCCAGAATTGTGGTCTGATGAAATGCTCTTGTAAGAGAATCGCGGAAGCTTTGAATGTGGAAAGGTAGGTGTAGATATTACGTCGTTTTTCCGGGACCCCCATGCCCCTTCTTACGTTCCAGGTGATGATGGTGTGCTTGATCATTAATGGGTAGTCGAGGTCGAGGCGCTCTTGGCGGTGGTGACGTCCTCAAAGAGGGGAAGGGCGGGCAGGACATCGTCCTCGGGCTCGTGGTCGGACCATCGTTTTTCCTCAGCTACCCCTCTTCCTTTCCCTCTGTCCACCTTCGTCACCTCGACCTGCATCGCCGCTGCCGCCGACATCGACCTCGTCACCCTCCGCCCTCTATTCCATCCTTCACCACGACGCGGCTCTTCCCTTTGATGATGACTCGCTTGGCGTCGGTCGGTTCGTCACTTGGGTCACTGAGGTCCGCCGCAGTCTGCGACCTCTTCATCACCTGCTTCTTGAACTTCGCAGCGGTCCCCTGATGTTGATGGAGCGTATCTCACCGTCCTCGTCCCACGTGGCAAAGTTGTGACGCACCAAAGGGGTTTCAGCGTTGAGCCTCCTCTCGATGCTTTGATCCCGCTCAAGTCGTGCCTGCTCAACCCAGTTAGCTCTGATCCTGTCCCACTCCTCCCCTCGCGTAGCGACTTGGCGAGAGTTTCGGGTGACAGAGGTGGGGTTGGTTCATGCGGCGTCGATTCGCGGGAAGCGGTGGCGGCGGTTGCTGTGGCGTCGCTGTCGTCGTCATTGTCCAGCCTGTTCGTTTCCCCTAAGTCCGTCGCTTCCGCATTCTCCGCTTTCGTCGATCCCCTCGCTTCGTCCACATCGCCCACCTCCGTCGCCACCTCCTCTTCCTCCATCTCCGTAGCCACCTCTCCTTCCGTTTCACCTCTTTCATCCGCCATCACCTCATTCTCATCAATCACCTCTCCATCGGATCCGCTGCAGTCCTCCAAGACCGACTCGTCCTCGCTTTCAATTTTGATGACCTCCGTTTTCGCGGCCGCCTCCGATTCCATCTCCGAGTCCTCCGAGTCCTCGTCATCCGCCTTATCACCAGCGTCTTCCTCCCCCGATTCCTCCGGTCCCTGTTCGCCCTGGCCAGTTACCTCTTCCTCCTGTCCCTCCTCGACCTCGAGCCCGGCGAAGTGATTCTGTGATGCGATCCTGTTAACAACCAGCACAGGAATGGGGGCCTCGGCCTCCGCGATGTTGGTGTTGTGGGTGATGGTGTTTTTGTTGCTGTTGATGATGCCGTTGTGAGCCTCCTTCCGCTTCCTCTCCTGATCCAGTCCGCAGGTTCCCACGTGACCCACAAAGTGGCACCTACCGCAAGCCGCCTCCTTCTCATAGTCATGGCGAAGGGCGGTAACCGGGATGCCTCGAGTGGGAAGGTCGATCCTCGAAGGTAGAATCTCCTTCAAGGTCGTGTTGGGGCGTTGAAATAGGGAGTCGTCATCGAAGTGTAGGAAAGCCGAGTAGTCTCCGGCAACGTGGGCGAAGGCCGAGGCGTTGTCCACGCTGATAACGCGCAGAACCTGCACAAGTTGGCATGAATGTCCCTTGCTGACAGGTCTTGCACAAGTGATTGGAACGATTTGATGATGGCATCCATGGAGGGCACTCCTTGAACACCGACGTTGATTCGAAGCTCGACCATGTTATGGTGGAACCTGTGAGACTTCGCGAAGCGGGCCTTCGCCGATCGCCAAGTGAGAGCGGGGGGCGTCGTGAGCGCCGCGTCACGTGCCTCGCCGGTGACGAACCCAACCGTAACGCGATGGTGAGCCGCCCCATTACGCAGGATTGATGAATGTTGTACGCCTAAGATCTGTGGTTGATAAGCCGCAAGATGGTCCGGCAGAGGAACTCCAGGCTCAAAGCAGATAGGAGAGATGGGCGATAGCAGCCTCGTGACGCAGGCCACGAGATCGATCTTGTCGGCATGAGTCGCTCGCGAGGCGCTCTGGTGAGACAGAGTCACTTCAAGGGCGTAATCGAAGATGTTCTCGACGGACCGGTTCGCGTTCAAGGCCGAAAATTTCAGCGATGTGACGGTGGCGACGGGGTAGAGTTCGGCGAAGTAGATGGCCTGGACCCAGCGATCCATGCGGTTTCCGGGTACAGCACCCATGGCTTGTAGGAGGCTGCCCAGAGCCTTGGCACGCTGTTGTTGTTGTTTCTGTTGTTCAGGTGTTTGAGTCGCCATCTGACTCGCAGCGGCAGCATAGTTGGGTGCGGCGGTGGCGGGGCCCGTGACTTGCGTCTTCTTCGAGCTTATCGGGATCCGGTCGCGGGGGGGCTGGACGCTGGTGGCGGATACCGGTGGTGGCGGTGCCGGCAGTGGGGACCCAGGGTCTCCGGTAGACATCTTGTCGGTGTATCACTTGTTAACTCGAGTATCGAAGGCTGCAGTAGGGCGATTGTGAAGTGAAGTGAAGTGAAGTGAAGTGGAGTGAAGTGAAGTGAAGTGAAGTGAAGTGAAGTGAAGTGAGTTTTTTTTGTTTTTTTTTTAGAAAACGTTCATCATATTGCCCCCAATTCCTGTTCCCCCTGTTTCGGCCTACGGAAAAACTAGATGGAAGACTACGATGATAACACAAACCGCCCGCAAAAGTGCGAGAAACGAGCCAAGTCCACCAATCCGAGATTCGGATTCAAATGCCCTAGCCAAGCGGTTGCTCCCCCCCAGGAGACGAATGAGAGAGAGAAAGAGAGATGAAGAGAAAGAGAAAGAGAAAGAAAGAAATGTACTAACGACAGAAGGCCCACCCCACAGCCACTTCCCACTCGGTCGAGACGAAGACAAGAGCACGACTGCGCAACCACCACGACCCTCGACGCTCCAAGTCTCTGCTCAGTCACAACAAGACGCGGTGAAGGTCCCTCAAAACCTCCCCTCGGCAGTCCCTGGCCCCTCAAAGCCGACTTTCTGCCTGTGTCCGCTGATCCCTCCCTTGACTCAGAACCCCGAAGCCGAAGAGCGCGAGCCACCGAGTCGACGCCAAATCGCGAGATGGTCCATGATCCGCAACGGTGAACCTGTAACAAAAGAAAGAGGAAAGCGAGCTATTTAGTGTACAGTAGGAGAAAATGATGTCACGAGAATTTGGTGTGTGTGGTGGTGGGGGGAAAGTCGAACCCAGCCTCTACTGCCTTCTCCTCCCCCAAGCTCCTCCCGCCCTCAGCTTCAACCTCTCCTCCAAGATTATCCTCCTCCTCCCAACACCCTCCATCCTCGTCCCCCACTTCTGCATCCCCCACCTCCCGCTGCTGATCATCTCCAAGACCAGCCCGGTGAATATTTCGATCGTCCTCCCCGCTCCTTCTTGATCGCGCAGACTGGCCTTGAGCTTCGGAAGTCCGAACATGCGTTGAACGGCCGTGTAATGCGTGTTGTCGATCGTGTCGAGCCCCAGTGCGTCGCAGAGCACGCCCCTTGCCGCGATCCAAACGTTCCTAGAGTCAACGCAGTCGAAGAAGTAGTGCTCCCGATCGTCCTTGGGCGCTCCACAGACGAGGCACGCGGGCGAGTCGTCGTGCTTTTGATGAAACTGCAGACTCCGAGTCGGGGTGAAGTTCCTGACGAGCTTGAACCACACCTCGCGTTCCCTCGCCGTCAATGCCTTCGAGTTGACCCCCTTCCAGAATCCCTTGAGATCGTCGGGCTGCAGCGAGTCCCTGAAACCGATCGTGTCGGTGAAGGCCTTTGCATTCAAGACTCGGCGGACGCGACGGATGGTGTATGGCCGATCCATGCTGAGCAAGTTGTATTGTGTTGATTGGTCTGGGAGAGCCGGTCTCGGAAGGCGCTGCGGCGGGTCGATCGGATGGGGCAGGATCGACTCGAGCGGCGTGGTGGGGCGGACTCGGGGAGGCCCGTTGATTCGTACTGCCGCCACCGGTTGAGCTATTGGTGTGAACCTCAATCGATTGATCGCATGTCGGTACCATGCCACGATGTGCTCTCGTTGTGGGCGGCCCCGTTGATCGTATTCGCTGTTGCTGACGACCACATCCGTCGGCGGCGTCCAGAGATGAAAGCCCCCGCCCGGGTACAGCTCGCGTCGAAACAGGTCCGCTACCTTGGCGTAAATGGCAAACGCAGCATAGTCGGCGTCGTAGGGTGGTCGCGACACAGCTGGTGCTCCCGGTAGGTAGTGAAGGGTGTGCAACTTGATCGGAAGAGCGAGAAGGTTCGCGAGCGTCAACGTCCTCGGCTTGACTTGCGCATTGTGCGTCGATGGTACCTTCAGCACGGCCTGCCATCTTGGGTGTAGATCGGTTCGGATCGGAGTGTAGTCGCAAGGCCACGCATCGGTTGCCAAGTCAAAGTCGGGGGCGGGATGGGCTCGTACAATCGCCGCGCGCGCAAGTCCCTGCCAGATCGCATCCGAACCGCCAAGAAGCACGTCCCAGACGCGTGCCGCAACCGAGTCGACGACGTCCTGCATCCGCATGACCCCAAGACCCCCCTTGAACCTCGGTGTGAAGACGACGTCCTTGCCATAGCACGACCTCCTCTTGCCGCCGCGGACAAAGTCGGCGAGAATGCGATCAAGCTCCTTGACGACCTCGAGCGGTGGGATGTCGGCGGAGAGGATGTGCAGAATCTTGGGAATGGCGTATCGGTTGACGTAGAACGCTCGGGTGTGGTGTGTGAGCCCTCGGTCCCGTGCCGAATCGAGCACCGCTTCGAGCCGTGCGACGAGATTCACGTTGGCGAGTTCGGTGTTGCCGGTGGGGTCGAAAGATAGGCCGATCCACTCGAGCGACTCGCCCTCGGCCTTGACGACGAGCGGACGATCGCCAGCCTCCCAGCGACACCCGATGGGTAGTACGACGGTCTTGTCGGTGTTGAGCCGGCCATTGGTTGCGAGCCTCCAGTCGAGCGCCAGGTCGTCGAGCAAGTTGAGTGACTCCGAGCCCGCGACAGCGACGACGACGTCATCGGCAAACGCAAGGGATGTAATGGCGCGGCTCTGTGGGTAGGGGTGAATGGTAGGAAGCGAGAGGTTCAGCGCGATGCCTCGACGGTGCAGAGCATCCAGGAACGGCTGGAACACGACATCCCAGACCGACGACGACGCCGGGTCCCCTTGGCCGAGCCCACACGTCAGCCGCACCGGCGGAGTCAAGAAGCCGTTGATGATATATCGCGCCGTGGTTGAGTCACCCGAGTAGAGCATCCTCAGAACGCGTTGGAAGGCGGCAGGAGCGCCGAGAGCGTCGAAGATGGCGAAGATCCATTCGTGCTCGACGAGGTCGTAAGCCGACGATTGGTCAAGAGACAAGAGCGCCGCGTCAGGGAACTCGGTGCCGCGCGCGCCCAGCTCCTCGATCAAGAGTCGCAGGTGGAATGACGCGTCCGCCGATCGGCGGCCCTTGACGAAGCCGTGCTGTTGCGGTGGGAGCAGGTCCGGCAGCACGTGGTTGAGTCGCGCAACGTAGACCTTGGTGAAGAGCTTGTAGTCGCACTCGCGCAAGGTGATGGGCCGGTACGACGAGAGCTCGGCGCGATCGGCCCCCGATCTTGTGGTGCTTGAAGAGCAGGCGAGCGAGTCCTTGCCCCTGCTTCGGTGAAAGCGAGCCGCGCTCGGTCATCGCGTTGAAGGCCCTGCTCAGCGCCTTGGCCCACGCCCGCGGCGCTGTGTGATAGAGCTCGTAGGGCACGCCAGATGGACCCGGCGATCGACCGGGGTGTGTTGTTGCGATTGCGGCTACGACCTCGTCCTCGGTGATGGGTTGCTGCAGCAGCTCGATGTGCGCTTCCGAGAGTCGTCGCAGAAAGAGCGGGTCCGAGCTCGGGTCATCGCAAGTGCGCGCCGACCTGATCGGCGCCAAGAAATCGTCCCTAAGTCGCTCGACGTGGTCCCGATCGCGCGGCTCGAGATCGTAGAGGCGCTGAAAGTGCGCCTGTGTGTGGTCAAGCGCGACGTCAATGTCATGTGTCAGCTCTCCGTTGGGCAATCGCAGTGCTGTGATCTTGGAATCCGAACTCCGTGCCGCGAGCTTGGCGTGGACCGGCCGCGACAGTCGTTCCTCGGTAGCGATTTCGGGTACGTGGGCTCGGATCCGAAGTTGGCGCGCGCGCTCGTTGACCGCTCGCCTAAGTTCCTCCGTCGTCCGCGTCCATTCGGCCGTCTCCTCGTCCCCCATCACCGGCAACGCCTCCAGATCCTGCACCCTTCCCACCAAGACCGCCATCCGCTCCACCCGCTCCCGATGCTCCCTCCTCGCCAGCTCCCGACCCTCCTTCGCGCAGTTCCCCAGCACCACCTCGAGCTCCCCCACCGGTTCCTCCCCACTCGCTCCTTCCAACCATCCTTCCAACATCCCCTGGAACTCCGCCGTCTTGAAGGTCGCCGCGTTGATACGATGTAATTGGTTTGATGTCGTTGGTAAACTATTGTTGGGTTGAGCCGCGTCTCCTCGCTCATCCGAGAGAACTAGGACGATCGAGACCGGTCGGTGATCCGAAAGGTCCTTGGGTGGTCGTAGATCGTCGAGGCTTGGACGAGTCGCTTTGGTGGGTGCGCTGCAGAAGGAAGTAGTCAAGTCGTGAAAAGGACTTTGGTCGCTTGCGGACGATGTTGGGTCGAGTGAAAGATGGTGTGAGCGGGTGTTTGAATCGTATGCAGTCGGTGTAGGGCGAGTCGAGCTTGCCGATCAGGATCGGCCAGTGATGGCCGTGCCGACCTTGGTTCCGCCGATCGATCGCCGGCAGCGGGCAGTCGTTGAGATCGCCGCCGAGGAGTCGAAGGTGGGTGCTCTGCGTCCTGTGGAAATGTAGTTTGTCAAAGAATGTGAGTCGTTGTTTTGTATCGACTGGTGCGTAAATGTTGTTGATCTCGAGTATCCGGATGTCGCCTCGAAGTCGAAAGGAGGTGACCAGGATTCGTCCGTCGAGTGCCGAGTGGGTGCGCAAAATCTCGGCGTCGATCAGGGGCGAGTCGGCGGGGATCAGAGTCAGACAGTGTTTGCTGATGAAGACCTTGCCCTCGTACTCGTCCTTGATACATTGCCAGAGTTCCGGTTTGATGAAGTGTTCTTGTAGTAGAATGGCGGATGCTTTGAATGTTGATAAATAGGTGTAAATGTTGCGTCGCTTTTCCGGGATCCCCATGCACCTCCTCACGTTCCAGCTGGTGATGGTGTGCTTGATCATTATTGGATAGACGATGTAGACGTGCTCTTGGCGGTAGTGTCGTCCTCAAAGAGTGGGAATTCGGGGAGAATGTCATCCTCGGGCTCGTGGTCGGACCAGCGCTTCTCCTCCTCCACCCCTTTACCCTTCTCCGCTTTCGCCTTGGCCCCCTCGACCTGCATCGCCGGCCGCCGCCGACATCGACCTCGTCACCCTCTTCCCCTGACCCGCTACCTCCTTTCCTGCTCGACCTTTGACCCTGTTCAGAACGCGCTTGATATCGACCGGGTCGTCGCTCGGATCGCTGAGATCGGCCACCGTTTGCGACCTCTTCATCTTCTTGTTCGACCCGGAGCCGGTGCCACGAATGTTGATGAATCGCAGTTGTCCATCTTCCTGACCCCACTCTGCAAATTGGTGGCGAACGAGCGGTTCCTCCGCGTCGAGTTGGGCGTTGATGATCGCCTCCTTTTCTGCTTGGACACGTGCAGCAGCTTCGGCGTTAGCTCGGTCCCACTCCGCACCCTCGGCGCAGCGACTTTGCCAACGTCTCAGGAGATAGTGGAGGCCACGAGGGACTCCGAGGAGTCGACTCGCGGGAAACCGTGGTGATCGTCGTTTGGTCGTCGTCGATGATCATGATGCTGTCGTCCTGTACCCCCTGTTCCTGCTCGACCTCTTCTTCCACCTCCGTCTCCGTCCCTTCGTCCTCCTCCTCTGCTCCATCTTTCATCACGTCATCCCCATCGTTTCCTTCGTCCTCCCTTTGTTCGCTTTCCCTCCGAGCTGTCGTCCTGTTCGTCCTCGTCGTCGTCCTTGTCGTCGTCCTTGTCGTCGCCTCCCGCCTTGTCGATGCCCGCTCCGGCGTTCCCATCCGAGTCCGAATCCTCGTCGTCCGCCTTGGCGCCCGTATCCTCTTCTCCTTCTTCGACCTGCTCCTTTTCCTCGCCCTCCTTTTCCTGCATCCTCCTCCTCGACGTCATCCTTCCTGTCCTCCTTCGACCTCGAGCCCCGCAAATCGGTTCCGCGATTCGAGTGGTCGGTTCCGAGGGCGCGGCTAGGGGCCACAACCTCGGAAGCGTCGTTGTCGGTGTTGTTGGTGTTGGTGGTGTCGTTGTTGTTGTTGTTGGTGTTGGTTGGGTTGTTGTGTACTTGTTGTGCCTTCCGGTGTTGTTGTTCGCTTCCTTCTGCCTCCTCTCCTGTTCCAGCGCGCAGGTCTCCACATGCCCCACAAAGTGGCACCGAGCACAGGCCGCTTCTCGTTCGTAGTCGTGACGAACCGCCGTATGCATGTTGCCTCTAGTGGCTAGAGAGACCTTCGACGGTAGGAGCTCCTTCAGCGTGTTGTTAGGGGCTTTGAAAAGGGCGTCGTCGTCGAAGCGGATAAAGGCCGAAAACTCGCCGGCCAAGTGCGCATAGGCCGAGTCGTTATCGACGTGGATCACGCGCAAGACTTGTACCAGCTCGCAACGGTGTCCCTTGGCTGTGATTTTGGTGACAATTGATTTAAAAGAGTCAACAATGGCATCCCTGGATGGGACCGCTGCGACACCGACGTTGATACGCAGCTCGACCATGTTGTGGTAGAAGTGGTGGGCCTTTGCGAAGTGAGCCTTTGCAGAGTGCCAAGTAAGCGCCAGTGGGGCCGTAAGCGCCGAGTCACGTGCCTTCGCCGAAACGAATCCCACGGAGATACGGTGGTTGACCACACCGGCCCTGACGAAAGACGAGTGTTGGATACCCCTAATCTGGGGCGCAAACGCCGCAAGGTGCTCGGGAAGGGTGACCTCGGCGTCGAAGCACAGGGGCGATTGCGGGGAGAGCAGTCTCGTGACGCAACCGAGCAGATCGGCCTTGTCCGCGGGAGAGGCCTTCGAGGCGCCTTGGACGGTCAAAGTGACGTCGAGAGCAAAGTCGAAGATGTTTCGAATGGATCGATTGGCGTTGAGAGCCGAATACTTGAGCGATGTAGCGGTAGCGACAGGGTACTCGTCGGTGGCGAAGGTGGCTTGCAACCACCGGTCGGTGCGATTGCCCGGTACAGCACCCATGACTTCGAACATTTGGGTCAAAGCCTTGGCACGGTGTTGTTGTTGGGTCTGCTGCTCGGGAGTCTGCTTGGTCTTTTGAATCGCGGCGGTGGCGTAGGTCGCGGCGGCGATAGGGACTTGCGTCTCCTTTGTCCCAATCGGGACGCTCGTCGCCGCGGACGCCGATGGTGGGGGTGGGCCGGTCTCGCCGGTCTCCATGCTAATGTAGGCTGATGTATCACTTGTAGCTTCGAAGGTGGTGGGTGGCGCGATTTCGAAAGTGAAAGTGAAAGTGAAAGTGAAAGTGAGGTTTGGCTTGACGTGAATTCGGGAATGATTGGTCAAAAGACTGGACTCCTAACATGCGTGGACTCCGTAGCTCAGTTGGTTTAGAGCGTCCGACTGTTATTTCTTCGTCAAGTGATCGGGAGGTCGACAGTTCAAACCTGTCCGGAGTCGCTCACCGACCCGGTAGACTCTCTTTTTGTGCCCGGAATTTCAGAAACTCTCTTCAACCCCTATGATGTCTACACATGTGTAAGTAAGTCATTTTTCTTTTATTTGGTGCATCCATTACGTCTATTTTTTTCAATGTGCAAAGTCATTCAAAACGTTAGCCCGGAGCTTCCCAGAGCTGTCGGAGATGAACAGGGAGTTTTTGCTTCTTTGTCCTGAATAGGCAATTCAGGCAGCTGGCAACTACAGGTACAATACCTCAGAATACTTTATGATCTCTCATAACCACAGAGACAGAGATATGTGTCGCTTTCTGGCCGGAGGCCTGTCCTTTTAGCCTCCTTAAAGTAGAGTATTCAACAGCAGCTTGGGTGCAAATCCTCACACCTAAGTGACAGCTCTTTTGATAATCCAGATAGATGCTACATGTATGGTATCTGATTAATAACTTCTTCAGGACTGAGGCAGTCGGAACATGGTGTAAGGCGCTCCAGCCTCCCAAA